TTATTATTATTATTATTATTATTATTATTATTATTATTACTAGTATTACTCCTTATTTTGCACTTTCCAACTTTTGAAACTGAATTTTTTTAGGTTCGAGCCAACCCTGAGAAATTTAGTCATAGAGTAAAACAAACTGTTAGCGTGGAAGGTCGATTCATGGAGGATATCAGTTCTAATATAAAGTCTTTAAAGTGAATATTAAGCAGTTCATACTTTGAATTGTTTTCAAACATTAATTCATTACTTTCTTCATCAAATTTTACATACTAAAGGCAAAGCAGTATTAGTCATGAAATGCACTTAGTTATTGTAAAAAATTAACAACTTTGCTTGTAAACCAAGTATGAAGTCAACAGCAAATTGTAATTGATAGGATAAGTGTTAGGTGACATTTGAGTTCGTATCATAATTTCTTAGTAATATACAAATGAAATACGCTCCGGAAAATCGTAATCATAGATTAATTCTGGGCATCAATCTACTAGTAAGTCCATGGAAAGCAACTATCCATCTAAGAATCAAGCAGCAACCAAAATACAGGCGGAAGTCCGTGGTTTCCTTGCACGGCGACATGTTCAACAGATGAAAAAGGAAGGAGATGATGCTGCTAAAAAAATTCAAGCACATATTCGGTAAGCATGTAATTCACATTATTTGAAGTCACGCATTCAAAAATTTCTATAAATATTTGGTGAATATATTTGTTATATTTGTTTTCATCTACTTGTATTGAATTTTGTTTATTTATTTGTTTTTAAGTTAAGATATTCTATTTATTTATTTATTTTTTAGCCCAGATTATGAGTTACATCAAGGCATAGAATTTTTAAATTTTTGGCAAATTTTCTTGCTTCAAAATCTGTCATTTGCTTTAGCGAAATTTCCTTACTCCATTTTTTTTTCTTAAAAACACAGCATAACATGGAAAACAATTAGCAAATAGCATCTACATAAGTTGTTACTTTTCGTCTACAATCATTATATTTGTATTTCACTTTTCCAAGCTACATATTATAATCCATATTTAACATTTCAGTTGGGATATTTATTAAAACTATAAAAAAAAGTTTGCTTTTTCAGAGGTTATTTGACGAGAAAACATTATGATAAGTCAGAGATGCTACATAAAGATTAAATTTTGTCTTGCATCTGCACATAACTCCAAAGAAGGTTAATTTTCTAACAAATGTGCAAACACTCTGAATTTTGAAGTGTAATGGTCAGTTTTTACAGTTTCATATTAATTTCAGTGAGCTTTTACTGACTCGTTAAAACGTGTATAATGGCATCATTTCATGTTCGCTTGCATTTGTTGACAGTTTTAGTGCAACACTCATCTGAATGGCAGGACAACAATTCATGGAAATATACGCATTACATTTTCGTTTTATTACTTGAAACGCTTTCCTTTTGCTTCGTTCATTTACTTTTTATTTAGTAATAATACAATCATTACTGTTATGCACTGTACCAAATGTAAGAAAAACAAATAATATACAGATGATTTAGTTGACTTTCATAGTACTTGTGGCAACATGTATTTCTGAACTATTTAAGTGAAGAATACTGAATTTTTTCCTTTAATGACTTCAAATAGTTCTTTTGTGTAGCATCCCATAAATGTCCTTTCATTTAATTCCCAGCTTTATTACATTTTAATTATCCTGTGCAAAAGAAGCATTGCTCCTACATATATTTAAATTTTAAAAGTACTAAAACTTTCGCATTTAAATTGCTTTTTTATTCTTCAAAAATTGAATAAATTAGCTAAACTCTTCATTAATGCTTCATGCTTCTAATATGCATTAGGATCCGTAGATGTGCCAATGTGAAATTGAAAATGTATATTCTTATTGTGTGTGTAGGTTTACGATAGATAACTTTATCATCTGATAACTCATTGCAATTAAGACTTTGAATTCATTATCATAATTAAATGAAGAAATATTTAAAAATCAAGCTTTTAAAAATGAAGAAAATGAAAAAGATAATATGCATTTGATGATGTGCTTAATATCACGATGACTGAGCAAGAGTTTTAAAAATATATTAGCATACTTTAGTTTATTCAAAGTACTTTAAAACTATTTTGCCGCAAATTTTATTGTCAACATTTAATTTTACTACGAAAAAACTTTTAAATATTAGTTTGAGAATAATAAATTGAATGTAGTTTTCAAAAATTTCTCACATACATTAAGTGAAAATTTAAGACTATGCAAAGTGGTTTGTTATTGCAAATACAGCAAAGATTGGTTGATTTTCTCACCAAGTCCACATGAAGTGCCGCACCAAAGAAATGCACAAAAACGATGAGGCCTATGTTATCAGATAGAATTTGCATACCAAAGTTGTGCTTATGCAAATAAAACTGCTCGCAGTAAAATTGAGAAATGTATTAGAGTCGAAAACTAATGTAAATTTTTTAATTATTAAATGGTGCGGTTTAGTTTTAGCTTCCGAAAAATCCATTTTAGCTTTTTTTCCCAAAGATATTTTTGGATTGTAAAAGGCCATTAAATTACTTTAACTTAATTTCGAAAATTATTTTTCAAAAAAAAAAAACTACATTCTGTAGATAATTTAAGATTTTAATATAATAAACTTTTAATAATCTTGAAGAATTTACAATTTTCTGATTGTTTAAAACTTTTTAAAGTTTTAAATATTCATAAAATTTCAAATTTTCCAAGTTTGTCTTCACCTTTCAATTTCTACAGGTTTTTATTCAGAAACATTTATATTATTCCGAAATATATTAAACAATTCAGTCACATTTAGAATTTTGGAAACCTTATTTACACAATTCTTAAAATTTAGATCAAAAAAGACCGCACTGACTGCTTGTGATGATCATTACTGAAATCTGCATAATATGCAGCTATTGAAGAAAGACGATCAAAAAATTTTGATGTGCAATAGAAACTCAAAAAAAAAAAATCGAAACGAACGAAATAAACTTAAAAATGAAAATAAAATTTGGAAAGCACTTTTGCTATCAACTGAAGATAACAGCAAACAGATGTTGTTGAGAATGATGTAGGTAACAATTTGATGATAACTAATAAATGTTAACAGTTCAGAGCTTATCGTTTCCTACTTTTAACAAACTCTTTTCATGTAAATAATTATTGAACTCTAAACAACTTTTTTAATTTAAAAAAAAAAAACTTTTACAATAAAATTTGTACTCTTTTCTGACAAACATTTTTTGCTGTAAATTTTTTGATTAATCTGTTTTTGAGTTTCTGTTTCTTCGTTGATGTGAAAGTCATGAAGTAATTGCTACTAAAATTTTCAAAAATTACTTTCATTTTTGTTTTCTGTTTTCAAAGATATTTGCAGAAACGGTTATCAATCTTATTTAAAAATTTTTATTTTAAATATTATACATGTTTGATTAGTCAAAATCTAAACTTTGCGGAAAATTTGATTTTTTCAATGAATACCGATAGAGATTTTCCAACGATTAAAGCAAATACATATTTTTTTTATTCATAATAACAAAGTTTTTGTTAAAAAACAACCTTTGCGAGATTATATATTTATTATTGAAAACATTTTCAATACTATTTTTTATTAGCGTGCTGTTTTTTAAAGTTTGAGAATCACTGAAAAAATTATAAATTATAAAGTAATTCATGAAGTTTAATATTATCACTGCAAATTTTTTAAATAAGGTGTTTTGAGTTCCTGTTTTTTCTTCATTAATGCTTAAATTACAAAGTAATTACTGCTAGGACTTTTGCAGATTATTTAAATTTTAGATAACTTCCTTAAAAAAATCAAAGTCATTAATATTTTAGAAAAAGAAAATTAATAGATATGGTTATCAGTAAAGACTAACAACAATTTTCGATATAGAGTATTGTCAGTACTTAAGAGCGCTTTTACATTTTCTCTCCTTTTTATTCAACATATTCAATTTGTAGTGTAACAAATATTTTTTCGAAACACCAAAAAACATAGAGAATAGCCAGTAAGTTTTGTAGATTCCATTTTTTCGAATGTCTACCAAATAATCGTTTAAGAAGCAAGTTCTGTCTTTCGTCAGAAATTTTGAATGTTTCAAAAAACCAATAGTAATTTCATTATCAGTTTTTTAGTTGTTACGTCTATCGCCAAAAATAGTGCTAATCCAATCATTTCTTATGCTTACAAAACAAAAAAAATTTGAAACTTGGTTCGAAATCATCATTTATCGTTTTAACTTTTCCCGATAAGAAGATACAAACTATGCACATACAAGTTATTCAAATTTATGATGCAAGATGAAATCCTCCTGAAGTCATTTATTTGTTACAACCGTAATACACTAATATATTTTGCAAAAAATTGATTTAATTGCCAGTTTTTCAGCTACAAAAGCTTTCAGCATGTTCTTATTTTCAAAAGTCTTTTAATATAATAAACATGCAGATAACAAATGCAAAGCGTAATACTTATTCATGTTTCTTCATGCGATGAGCATACAGTAAAATGAATAGTTCTAAATATTATTTTCTTGCTATTTTTCACATTTTCAACTAAAAAATTGTATTACAAAATGGGCACGAAATTGTGCTAACTTACTGCCAAAGTCAGTTACAAAATCGCATTCTTTTTTTCTAGTCAAATTTTGCAGTTGTATAATTTTTTCCTATTTAGTCTAATTTTTCTGTTCATAGCTTTTGCTAAGATAAAGATTTTATCAATTTGAAAGGATAGTCGAGAATATTAACGTATATACAACATATTGGTTCTACTACTTTTGTTTGAAACAATTAAATTTCTTGCTATATTTTAAACTAATTGTTCGAGAAGACAGTTGTAATGCTAATGAAATATATATTTGATTTCAGAAAACTTTTTTCTATTACTGAATAATAGTTTTTCTAATACTGCAAAATTAATTACCCAATACTTTTTTTCACGTGATTTATTGTAAACATTTTGAAATGAAAATGTGTTTCGCTGTTAAAATTATAAGTTGCTTTAAAAGTAAGTGGATGAAAATGTATAAATTAAATGCATTGCAGTAATTTTCTGTAAGGAACACACTCTGCCTAGCATTACACTTACATTTAGATTAATGATTCCTCATCCATCATAAATGAAAATTATGATGTAATTTGAATTCGGAGAACATATTTCAGCAGTACATGAAAGTGAATATATTATAGCTGACGTAAAGTGGTATCAATATCGATTTAAGATCTTGAAACACGTCAAAAATGCGATCATCAGTACCTGACAAGGCATTTTTGTTACAGTTTTTGAGAGAATTACGAAGCAGTTCAAAGATTCTCACAGTGAACTAAAACTGATTTATATCTTTTTTGAGCAAAAAAATCAATCTACCCTTTCGATTGGCATGTTTTTTTTCTATTTTTTTAATCTTTGTTAAGCAAGCTTCACAGCTATTTATGAAAGAAATGCTTAGAAAAAGTGATTATATGGCCTTTTTAATGCTTTTCATAGATTTCTTTATTAAATTTATTCACAGGTAATAAAATTTACAAAGTTGTTAATAAAGTCAGATGCAGTTCTATGGTGAAGGATTTTTTAATTTATTGAATTAGTTTTAAAATAGCTTTTATAAGAAAAAGTAAAAGTAATTAGATTTGCTCAAACTCCTCTAATCATCTCAATAGTTCTAACAATTTGTTCAATTTAGGAATGTCAACTGCTCAAACTAAACTAACTTGCTTGAAAGCATGTGATGATCTGTTCCTTTCGAAAAAACCAGAAATATTAAATCTTTTTGTATTTTAATAAAGCAAGCTGCTGACATAACAGTCCTTGGTAAATAGTTCTATGCTTAACTATCATGAAGATTGAAGTAAACATCGTTTAATAACTTTGCAGTTGCTACTTTTTTGAAATTAAAAAAATTGTAAGTTACAATATGAAAAATTTAACCATATC